CAAAATTGTTAATGGATGTTACTAATGATATGATGTTAAGCGTAGTTAAAGAGGTGCTAAACACTACTCAACAAATAGGTAATATTTATTAATAATTGTAACTATTTTCATACAATAGTTTGATAGCTGAAGTATGTGAGTAATTAAATACATAAATATAATATAATATTTATATATTTTTAAATGAATTTAAATATATATTGTATAAGTAGATAGGGATTATTAAGTATATATTACATATTTATTATTATCAAAATTACAATATATGCCATGTAACAGATATTCAAGGAAATCAAAACCTAACATCATTAGCTGGTAAGCTGGGTAAGTTATTAAAATTATCATATTAATTGTTGTATAATATTCAATTTTTATTTATGTGTTTATTCCATTACTTGGATCTTAATTCAAATACACTTATTGTGAAGTTATAAACAATCATCCATAAAACAAATCAATAATTATATATTAGTTATTTGTTTTATTTATATTGTTTTAGTTTTAATCATTATTTTTATGTTATATATCATCTATGAATACATTTTGTTTGTAATTTATTTTATATAAATAAAAAATTTACTTAAGGGCTTGGAATTTATGGTTCAGAATCTGAGTTGTCAGATGAAAACGATGAAGAGCAGCACTCATCATGTCATAAGCAACTAAAACAAGATTCTGATGAAGCTATTCGAGTAAAAAATATATATTTACTTTGTTTTAGTAAATCAATTTTATTTTTGATCTTCAAACATAATTGAAATATTTTATTTATATCATATTTAGGAAAGAATATTGAAACGACAACTTGAGTTCAGTAATATTGAAGCTAGGATACTTTTGGAATTGGATCAATTAGAAGATAAGGAAAAAATTGTGAGGGCTAAATTTGATGATAGTGTCATGCTGAGTGGAGAAATGAATAATATTGGTAGTCAGGTAGTGGAAAACATTCAGACAAAAGGTAAAATTATGTTTCAATTATTTATTAGAAAAAATCCGTATATTGAACAAGTTTGTATTTAGTATTTAATATTCCAGAATTAAAAATAATTTAAGTCAGTAAATAATATTTTTGTATTTAAAAATAATTCACTATTATTTAGTAATTGAGTTATGTTGTGTTTTTCTGTTGATATCAATACCAAGTATAAACTGTTATACCTTTATTATGTGATAAAAATATTAATATATTTTTTAATTCTTAAACCATTTTAATTATGGTACTGAATTCATTGATCATAATTGCTACAATAATCAACCACTATATTCTTAAATTTCAGGGCGTAATGAAGATGTAGAATATAACCAAAAGATTGACAAGTGTCATGATGAGATAAAAAAAGAATTACCTAATGATTTGGATATTAAAAATGAACATGAAAAAAAATCTAAATCCAAAAGTTCATCAAGTTCTGGTTCATCAAGCAGTAGTAGTGATAGTATGAGGAATGATAATACTGACAGTAAATACAATTTTAAGAAAAACGATAAAATTGAATCCAAATCTTCGTATGAAAAAACTTTAAATGATAGTATAAAAATAAAACAAAGATYGCGATCTAGAAATAAAAGTAGATCTCATTCAAGATCTAAGCGTAGTAGGTCACATTCAAGATATGGTAGAAAATCTCCACATAGTTTTAGATCAAGACAAAGTCGATCGCCAAGATTAAGTCATTCATATTCCACAAAGTTTAAAAGCAAATGGAATAGTTCTAGTTCAAATGAATCGAGAAGTGATGAACTCTAGTATAGATGATAATTTTCTAGTCAAAATATTGTTTTAAGAGGTTAAACTCTTAATTATTGTTTTATTGAAATTACTCATTAAATTAACAAGTTTTTAATTTTAATTCTAGGTTTAGTTTTTAATAAATTAAATTGTTCGTTTAACCAAAACCATATATATAACATTTAATTTTTTATGTAGTATACTCATCACTATTAAATTTATCATTGAAAACTTAAGTTCCAATCTCAATCATT